TATATTTTCCTGCCGATACGAAAACTTAAGAAAATAGACAGAAATCTGCATTGTTTCACCTATCAATATACGACAAATGGAAAACGATACAAGAAAAAGTAAATTTGAAAAATTTGCGAAAGCGGAATAATTTCGAATGCTGCACAAACAGAAAGATACCATGCAGAGACATTGGATTTTTTTCGAAGCAAGAAATGCGAAAATTCAGCAGTGCCCTCATTGTGCTTCTAATAAGGAGGTCTTCCAAATTCTAGCTGGAAGGACTTCCATTTATAACAAGATAGTGAGAATGGCATAATTCCTTATTATTTGTTTTCATTTAAAGGGCGAGAGAGAAGAAGCACGAGGCACTGTCGGAATAATTCATGTGTTAACGAATTATCGTCTGACATGTTTTCGTTGGGGTGCCATTGAAGAGACATAGCGTTTTTACGAGGAAAAAAAAAAAAAAAAAAAAAAAACACGAAAAATCCGTTATCCTATCAGCGGAATACGAACCACAGGCATTCCGACTGATAGTCCGATCTACTATCACTTACACCCCGAGTTCAAATTCTAGCTGGAAGAAGCTCCATTGAGCAATTTCCAGCTCAAAGAAGAATGAGATAATTTCTCATAATCAATACGGATATATAACTGATGATTCTAAAATTTTATTATCATTAAGACTGGAAAAAATACACGATTTAATTCATTTTCATACATTTTAAAAGAAGTTAAATTTTTCAGAGAGTTACTATAAAATATTTATTAGAATGTCAAATTTAAGCATTTCAATTATTTATATAATAAAGGATAAATTTTATATTTATATAATAAAGAAAAATCGTTGATAATATCACTCTGATTTTAGTGGAGATATTTTAAGAAATAAATAAGTGAAAGCTGGAGGAAGAAAAACTATTTCAAGTTATATGTTTATCTTAAAAGTAACGAGAGAAAAACTATGTTAAAAGAAAAGGCACGCATATCGAAATTGTTTCCTGTACTGCTGACAAATTGTTATATGGCATGCATACTATAATGTTCATGAATAATTGATTGCTACTAGATTAATACAGGCATAGCATATTTCTAGGGACTGATTTGCTGTAATTTCCAATTTGATTTTTACATACTTTTATATTTAGGACACTAATTACATCACACTGAAGATTACTCAATGCAATAATTCCATTGCAGTTTTATAGAAAATTATAAAATTTTCAGTTTCAATAAACAAATATATAATATTTCGATGACTCAGCAGGTAACATAATTTATTATCTTTCAAGTTTTTTTCGAAAACACCTCGGCAGATATAGAATCAGCCGCAGACTGTACTAACTTTAACAAGCGCAGTATCTGAGTGTTCACATTTCTGTTTATAACTGCAATAAGAACAAGTATAAGTTTGAAAAGTTTACCAATGGCTATGTGGATAAAAGAGATGATCATAAGTATTTTGACCTGGTTTTGGTTTCTGGTCAATACGTTGGCTGTAGGGAAGATTTCGTGATTTTTTCCATGTGAACTAGTTTTCTTTATAAATTCCTCTAAGTCTTTCGTTAAGTACATACAAAGTTGCTACATTAAACATTAGTAAGTGTTTACATAGGTAAACATTTTAAAAGCGACTAGCGTAAAGAAAGATTATTTAAATTATGTTTTTTAAAATGCAAATTCAGAACACTGAAAACCAAACAGTAAACATTATAAGACTAATTTAATAATCTTTGGTTTGGTTTACTTGAAAACTTTACTTAAAAAACGTTGAAATTTACAATGTTTACAACAAACTATTATTCTGCCATATTCATCGATTGCGTTAATCAAAATCTAAAATTATTTAACGTAAAATGTAATTATCCGAAAATTATGTAAAATGAGAATTTTTTCCCACTATATCTGTAGCTTTACAATGGCTAGAAAAAAAGATAGCTCTAGATAATGAGTATTTCTACAATGAAAAAACTCTATTGACTAGAAATAGTCTTTGGAGACCTTAGTGTCAGTTAGCCTGCGGAGGTCAGGTTCCCTTCCAAGTCGTTTTCTTTTCCCAGGAGGCAGGGGTAGAAAGGATTCTTCCCGATTATTATTACTTTTAGCAAAGACGTTTACAATTATCTATTCAATCCTTGCTAATCAGACGAATTTGAGAAGAAAGGGAAAGTTGTAGATAAATTTTGCTTCTTCCAGTGCCAGTTACAAATCGTACAGTTGTTCAATAACATTTGAACTATATCATTAACGTTGCATATTACTAAAATGTACTTGTTCTTTAAAGTCCTTGATCTGTTCTAAAAATAATACCGCAGAAGTTTCAGAAATGAAGTACAATTTAAAGCTACTTAACATTTCTATGCATGTTGTTTAACACTTCCTGTTTTATTTGGAATAATATTTCAAAAATAAAACTCGTGTTGGTTACGACCCAAGCAATACTTAACGGGATAAAAGCCGTACTTTGATAATGCATTCAGTTTTCGTCGTTTTAATAAAATCCATTATGATACTTATGCTGGTAATTATAAACTGCATTTACGGATACAGAAGTATGATTAATACACTAATATCACAGAATATAAGCTTTTTATGCTCTGACAAGTTTTGTCAAGATACCAATTTTTAGTTCATATACAAGTCGTAAATTCCCTAGCCAGATTCCTTTTTTATATAAATAGATGCATAGAGGACAAAATGGAACAGTTAATTATATTTTTTATTCTTTTTCAAAATTTAATTCTTTTAGATATAATTTTTAACGGTAAACGATATTCTGCTAAGTTATAATACAAAAATTATTACTAATAATAATTTATATCCTAATTTATATCCTTTTATATATATTATATTATATCATTTATATCATATTTATATCACTCAAAACAGAATTGGAAAACTCATTCAAATCATATTTAATCAAAACATTTTTCGAAGTTTTGGGAAAAAGGAATTTTGGGGTTTGTTTGATTTTTAACGGTGAATTCAATCATTAAAACATTTTTACCGTGTTTCCTCATTCATATAAACATTAGCAAAATAATTTACTAAATAATTCTTAGATGTAATAGTATTCTTGTTTATCTTTTGTTATATGACTAAAAATAAATAAAAAAGCGGCTGGTATTCAATATTTATTTTTATTTAATTACAAATACTTGGCTATTGGTACTCAAGACATAGTCTTTCCATATTATCACTTTTCTATTAGGCCTTGAAATTATGTTAACGACCTAATAGAATTCGGAAAATCCTATGATTGCATAAAACTGCGGGAGGTGCTAATAATGACAAATTTTAAATGAAAATAGAAATTTATTTAAATAAATAATAAATTTATTTAAATTCTATTTGTGAGTGTGTCTGCTTTATGCAATTAATGTATCAAATGCAGAAAAGTGAGAAAAATCCATCCAACACAGAGAAATAATTCTTTCTAGTCTGTGGTAAGATTGTATCAAATTCATTTAAACTTCCGTTTAAATTCGAAATGCGATCTCTCAAATCAACGAAGGAATACATTTTTGGCTTTAAATTCCACATTAGTAGCAACTGTATAATAGCTAAACTTACCAAAATATTTGTAGAAAACCGCCAAAATTCTAGAAATTGCTATAAAATCCCGAAAAATATTAGGAAAATTATTGCTTGCCAATTTCCATGCTGAAAAGATCAAGCGTTTACGAGGATGAGCTCGACAGTTAAACGAACAACTTGTGGAAAAAATTCAACGCTAAAATATAAATGCATATGCCAAATTTTCCAAAAATTTCTGATAAATATTGTACTCTCATCGTAAATATATATGGACTTATAATGTGATGAAAACTGAGTCGGTAAAAGAATGGATTAAAATTTAATTTCCCAAAATAAATTGGCCTACTAAAACTAAATAAAATAGATAGTAGTAATAGTAAAAAAATTGTGTAACAAAATAAATAATGATCTTTCTTAAAATACTGCCCAATAAAACATGTCGAATAATTGAAAATTTACAAGCTTGGAAGCTAAAATTCTAAAAAGATTTCGGAAAATTCGGCCGTCACATGTTAAAAGAAACAAGTCTACAGGCTACTAGTACAAAGAAAGAGGAGGGAGACGAAACTAAACGGAACAACTACTTCTTGCCATTCAATAGCGGGGAGGCAATTTTATGGCTTATCCATCACACTAAGGGGAAGCAAACATACTGCCTTAGGCTGGGCCATCTTAGAGAGATTTCAGAAAACGAAAGCGATTTTTTTGGAGGGGTTTGTTGTGACAACGCGCCGTTTTCAAAGCATTTCTCGAGGGCTTTAAGGGTAAACTTCACAGTTTCTTTTTCCCAAACTATTTTTAATAATTTCTCCAAAATTACAACTTTTTTTTACTCTCATAAGCAAAATTCATTTTAGTAAATGCAATATAAAGCAGTCTTTTAAAAATTGATGCAGTAGTAAGACCAGCCAAAATTCTGGAAATATTTTAATATAAAACCTGATGTGCGAGGCATAGCAAGATCCTGAGAGGTCATGTCTGCATATACTTTTAAAAGTGCAAGGCATAATTTATAGCTAGCTACCAAATTTTAATGAAGATAGCTACGAATCTGAAGGTTTTCAGATATTATACGCAAAAATCGAAATTTTTTGATTAATAGCATAATAACAAATGGTACTTGAGAATGATATAATTGATAAGTGTGATGACACTGTGACAACAATATTTCAATGATCAACCAATTAAGTGAATAGTTGTAAGTATGGATTTGAATTCAGAAAACATTGGCATTTCAACTTTGAGTCAGATTTTAATTTCACATGATGGTGATTCAAAAAAACTTTCTTTATACAGCAGTAATTTTCTTTTAATAATACATACAATATAATTAGAATAAAACAGACAATATAAAAATAATAATTTCTTGAATGAATTAGATTTTTGTATCACATTGTATAATTGAAAACTAGAGAATTGGAACTCTGTTATACACACATATTAATTTTTAAAAACTGTATTTTCTCTATGAATAACTTTACCTTATTATCCAGAGATGTATTACTAGTATCTTTGTTGCCATCAAGTAGAACTTCTGCTTTCTTTTCCACCATCTTGTTTAACATGGACCACAATTTATCTATTTCACTACCACTTAAATTTTTTATTGCATCTTTAAACGTATATGGGACTTTTTTAGATTTCTAGAGAAAAATATAATAAATAATTATATAAAAACAGATAACACAAAAATCAAGTGTAATAATCATAGCAATGTGTATTTTGATTTTCCAATTACAGTATATTCACGAATACCACGAACAGTTTTTTGATAATTTTAATCGGAAAAATTAAGGTGCACGGCTTATGCAAAACAAAACAATATAGGCCAGGTAAATGCAAGTTGGTCGGCATAAATTATTTCTTTTTTAAGCTATCGTATCCCCAGTAAATATAACGTTATATGATGCTGCTGTATCCTCTCAAATAATAAATCCTGGCCAGGGATTTGTAGAGAATATATTGCCAATAGCAGCTACTAGACGTATGCATTAGTCGCCCATTTAAAGCAGCACTGAAAAGAATGTACACAGAATGGATGGTGCTAGAAATCACACACTGACACCAACTGGTCACCTCAAAAAGCCCGAATTAATTTGATTCTGTGGATGGATCAAATCTGCCTGGGATGGAATTTCACAAGAACTTTTTGTTAAGAGCAGAATATCAAATAGCATGGACAGAAGTGAGAATTGTGCAGTGTGGGATGAACCGGTAGTTCAGAAAGCATCAGTGATGACAGCAGTGCAGATGGCAAGGAAGACTGAAAATCTACTTTTGTGTTTCAAGACTGAAAATCTACTTTGTGTTTCAAGACTGAAAATCTACTTTGTGTTTCAAGACTGAAAAAGTGGGAAGAAGTGCCATGGTGTGTTAAGTTATTTGCCTTTGTTAGATTACCGGTATATTTTAAAGGATCACTCGGGACTTAAATCCATATTTAGTGCAGCGATTATTGTCAGCTGAAGCTACGGTTTAAAGAATAAAATTTTATGTAACATACTTAGATTAGCAGTTTTTTCTTTCTGCTGTAGAATTAAATTCTGCTAACTGATTTATTCCTTCGCATTAAAATGTTATTGGGCATGTGTTGCTATGCACTTAGGCAGCAGCTGTAAAAGCTGCAGGTGGTAGCTCAGATTTTTTTCTCCATAACTGTCCATTGGTATTTTTTTGCCATAATCTGGAAAAAGATTTTTGCTGTAAATTAAGTTTTCAATGAGCTTGATGAAAATATGCACACCATATTCGCGGACATTTTTTTTTTTTTTTGTGCATCAAAACAATTGGGTGCACGTCTTATTTTATTTGGTGGCGCATGGTATTTGTGAACATATGGTATTCTCTGTATAAAGATTTAAGACAATAAATAAAATACGTTGCAATATAAAATATTTAATATCCTTGCACAATATAAACACAGTAAACTTTAAATACCATCTTTTATATGTGATCAGGGTTCATAGCCACATTTTAGTTAAAAAAATAAGCACCTATAAGCACTTTTCAAGCACATTTTAAGAAAAAAAATAAGCACCTGTCTAATTACATTATACACAACTGCATAACCTTAAAAGAAAAATTAGACTTGTAATTTAAAATATGAGCAATGCAATATTTATTAAGAGAATGAGCATTACCTCAACAATGGAAAACAATTAACTTTTTTTTTAATTTTTAAATGACAGTTCAATTTACAGAATTAGTTTACAATGAGAGGGGAAAAAATATGCAGAACTAAACTTTATTACAATATTTAATGATGATATTTCAGTTGAAAATATTGAAAATAAATAATAATAAGCTATATTAATTGTATTCGTTCGGCACCTAGTAATAAATACAATTTATTTTTCCACTCATATTAAAATTTAAATAATTTAATTTACATCAAAATTCTGAACATTTTCAAAATTTTCATTGCATAACAGTTTTCCCTTAACATATATCCCAAGCAAAGTAATTTAAGTAAAAATGAGGCACATTTCTGAAATCAGAAGACGGGAAATTGCTTCATTCAGTCATCCTTTAACAGTAAAAGCTTAACTAGCCAGCATACTCGGAAATTCCCGAATTTTCCGGATAGTAACTAGAAAAAGAGGAGTGGGGGAGATTGTAGCCGTTTTTTAGATTTAAATTTAGGCTAAATAAATGATTTGACATTTCGATATGTGCATCATACACAAAAACCAACGGAACTGAGAAATATTCTGTTTAGAAAGCACAGTAAAAAACTCTTTTAAGTGTTCATAAACACAAATCTCAGGCTGAACATCAAAATTAATTACCAATTGCAAAATACCGCAAACGCTATTGCGCAATACGTGCGGCGTTAATTCTTCCATACGTGATATTACGCAATCGGAATCAACAGCTGCCGGTATTCAGCAGGGAATAAATAGTTCTGGGTATTCGGAGAAAGAAATTAAACAAAGGAAATGAAAGAGACCTTCACTAATCTGGGGTGTTTCTGATTCTAATTTTCAACAGACTGGAATTAGAATTTCCAGAATAGAATCAATTCTTCGCTTGGGTTAGGTAGACCGCAAAAACTTTTAGTCCTATTCAATCCAGATTGGACAAGTGACAAAAAAAAAAAAAAAAAAAGTCTGTTGCTTGTTTTGCTGTGAACTTAATGGCTTCAATATTAGAGATTTGCGCAGCGGGGAATGGGGAGGAAAACCTCCCAACCTCCGTACTGTATAATGTATTGGCAAAAAAAATGAAATTATTATGACTATTCGATTACTTTCCTTTTATTTAAGGCCAGTCCGAAATATTATTCCTGAGAAAGCTAATCTGTGTAAAAACACACCCATTTTTGGAAGTTTATCTATACTTCAGCAGTTACTGCAATTAATTATAAAATATTCACACATATGCTCTAATATAAGTTAACGATCATTAAAACGAATATGATGACACCGGAACGAGAATGCAATTAATAAATCTGATAGAATTCAACGGGTATTTTGGTGGGGAAAGAATACGAAGTACGGAATTTTTCAAGGATCAAGGAAGTTCGTGTTACGGAGTTCTTAGGCATAAACGCCTTTACCTCCACATCATGAAGAATAAAATGTCATCATCAAAAGAGGGAATTTTCTAATAAGGTAAAAATTTTGTTAAGCCGAAAAAAGCTTTTAAGAATAAGTGCCTTCACACTGAAAACAAATATAAAACTCAGAAGGTCTAATTTTGCGCCAAAATAAGAGCCAGAATAAATTAGATAGGGGCAGTCATCTTAAACAAAATTTTTGCTAAAGACTAGAAAATAAAAGCAGGTGTTTCCTTGATACTTGATCTTTCTTTGCGAACGTCAACTTCGCGGAGGGGAAAGGACGGGGGGAACGCTCTTACGCGTCGAAAAAAGTTGCTGTGTCAGTTGGTCAGCTGACGGAGGGAGCAGTTTCGTTTCCGCCCGCTATTCAGTGCGGTCTTTAAGGCCAAATGATTGACACCTCTTAAGGGGGTGCTAAAAGCAAGTAAAAGGCCCTTTTAGAAGGGCTGAAAGAGCTATTTTGAAGTAGAGAAATAGTCAATTGACTTTAGATTTAAAAATTAGGTTCAGTCGCCTGCGACTGTAAAGCTTCTTCTTAAAGAAGCAGGAGGGGTTCCTCCGGTCAATGACTTAAGCATTCAAGACTCGAGAGGCGGGAAGGGGAAGGAACGAGAAGTAATTATTCACATGCATGTCAGTGTGAGCATACCTTGCCCGTTTAAATGGGTTTGCAGCATAATCCGGGTTGAGAACCGATCTCGGTCTCTTCCTAGATGAGGCGACTGCAGGATCATATACAGGTAGCATATGCAGCACAGGATTTGCAACATGTTGAATATTTTTGAAAAAGTTTTCCGAAAGTCGCTGTATAAAGCGATTAATGGGCATAATTTTGAGATCATTATGAATCTCTTCGTTCCTTATATACCACGGAGCTTTGAGTATTTGCCGAAGCAATTTAGATTGAAAAGTTTGGACATGTTTTCTGTTAGTCAGTGCTGATGGGCCCCAAATGGGGCATGCATAAGTCAGAACAGGCCTTATGATAGACTTGTAGAGCAAAATCTTGTTGTCAATTGACAGGTCGCTATTTAAAGCGAAGAAGGGGCGCAGATTGGATTTGACAGCCGTCGCATTCGCAATGATTTTTTGAATGTGAGGTTGCCAAGTTAATTTTGAATCAAGTAATACACCAAGATATTTATATGAAGAAACCCAGGGAATAGGTTCACCGAAGAGAATTAAGTTATCTAAACGGGGGATATTTCTTCGGATGAACAGAGTAGCAGCACATTTTGCGACATTGATTTTGATTTTATACAAACCGAGCCAGAGTTCTAAGGCTGAAAGGTAACTCTGTAATGTGTAGAGATTACCGTGAAGGTGTTGGAATGTTGTGCGATGATGGCTGTATCGTCCGCATATAAAGCAAGATCGATACTAGGGGCCTTAGGAATGTCATTTACGTAGAGGTTGAAAACTGAAGGCCCGACGAGACTGCCCTGTGGACAGCCGGCATAGATTGGGCGGGGAGTGGAGAATTCGTGGTTAACTCGCACACGGAAACTTCGTCCGGTCAAGTACGAGTTAATAATTTTAATGAAATGAGCCGAGAAACCAAGCCGCATGAGCTTGTAGATAAGTCCGTCATGCCAAACCCTATCAAATCAAAGGCTTTGGCTACGTCAAGATAGACGATACCACCAGTTTTCTCTCGCTTGCGAAAGCCTTCATGAATGAATTCCACTACACGTAATAACTGGTGTACAGTGGAGTGTTTAGGTCGGAAGCCGAATTGTTCCGGGATGATCAAATTTTGATCTCGACAGAATTCATTCAGGCGATTAAGCAAGACATACTCGTAGATTTTTGAGAGAGACGAGAGCAGACTAATTGGTCTGTAATTGACGGGTAAGTTTAAATTTTGTCCCGGTTTTGGAATGGGCACGACTGCTGCAGTTTTCCAACAGTCGGGAAAATAGCTTCTCCTGAGCATTAAATTAATAAGGACCGTAATCCAGACAATAAACATTACGGGGAAGTTTTTGATCATGCGATTCGAAATTGAATCTATGCCAGGGGCCTTGTCAGGTTTAATTTTATCAATGTAAACCATGACTTCAGTTGGATCAGTTGGCCTGA